TGTGTGTGTGTGTGTGTGTGTGTGTGTGTGTGTGTGTGTGTATGTGTGTGTGTGTGTTCTAACTGTGCACACACACCTGTCCTTGAGTGGCTGTAGGTAGCTTATCCATTCCTCCATATCTCCGGCCGTTTCGGCCGCCAATTGATAGATACTCTGTGACGTAATCAGTGCAAAACTGTTGGCGACTGTATCGTCAATCACACGCCCACACGTCACGATGTCGCTGGAGTTGGATTTTCAGTGTTGAGAGGAGTAGTGAATGAAAACTTTATTTTATATTTGAAAAATATCTTGAATTATGCATATACTGAACTTAACGCTCTAAATACGACGTATATTATACATATATATATAATATATATAAATTACAATATATATATATATATATATATAAATATGTGTGTGTGTGTATATATATATAAATGTGTTGGACGCACAGTGAGACTCGCCAGCTGAATATGCGGATATAGAGTATAAAACAATCTGTACAAATAGTATTCAAATAATATTCAAATCAATATCACTATGTTTTACCATACCGAATATCAATGAAGTCTCCATCATGGTGCATTGATTGCTCGCCTGTGTCAATATCTGCAGAAGTAACATATAAGAACTGAGAAACCCTAAACCCTAAACCCTAAAACCCTAAGGGCATGTGATAGAAAACCCCTTAGAAACGTTGGTATACCAAGACGAAGTATGGTCATACGCAAGTGCTGCTAAGTTGGATTGGTAGGCGCTTAGAACACGAAGACTATATGCCCACACGCACCATACCAGACCATCCACATTACCTATGCATCTAGCACAATATTCCTCACACTCCATAATAGCACACCCAAGACGCCCACACTACCAGTAACCCTTGTGCTCTGTCTACGTAGCTCCGCAGGCCTGAACCCTAAACCCTGAGAAACCCTACACCTGAACCCTAAACCCTACAGCAATCCTGTCCCACCCTACACTCTAAAACCCTACCCCTCTAAACTCCAAACTCTAAACCCTAGAACAACCCTACCAAGATCGTCCACACTGCCAATGCCCTTTGCCGCATTGACCGCCTCCAACACCTTCATCCACGTCACCCGTGCTTCACTCGACGCGCATGCAAAGTCTGTGCGGCCCTCTTTATTGGTCAGTCGGAAGGTGTGCATCTTTTTGTTGTCCACCAGGTCCTCGATTTCGGTCTGAGGTGCACAAGTCAGGTGCAAAGCAAGACAAAAAGAAGAGCTCAGATCAGATGTTCCATAATTCATTGGCCAATGATATATAGACTAGACCGGTCACGTATTGCAAGTATTTCAATCAGAACAAAATGGGACAATGCATACAGGGATTATACTGGTTTGAAAATAATCAGCGTTGAGATTCTAAACTCTCTTGTAAACAGCTTGTATGTCTTATATATAAATCAATACTATGTTTCCAAAGTAGAGGAGTGAGGTAA